AAAAAAAGAATTGCAATGCTGAAAAAGCCTTTTCAGTTACAATGTTTGGATTTGAAATCAAAATAATGGATACATGTTGTGTTTGTGGTAAACAGCCACGGATCAGTAGTGGACTCCTGTGTGAAAGCTGCTTCTCCTCTCACAAGAGTCACCTAAGAGTGACCCCCCTTTTTCAAAAATGAAATTCAGGCCCTGAATAAATGTCTAAAAATCCTGATTGGAGTATCACTATAAATAGTTATAAATGATAAAAAGAAGGCTTTAAAAAGATCGGTATCGGTGATCGGTATCGACAGATCTGCTTTCTGTGATCGGCGATCGGCCTCAAAAACCCTGATCGGAGCACCCCTAACTGCTACACATGCGTGTTCTTTCTAGACCTAAATTACTGTGTTTGAGGATACTTGCAAAAATTGGCATTTTGACACATACAAGTGTGTGTATTTAAGGCCTATAAAAATAACTTTGCTCAAAACTCCTGCGCTCTGTGAGCACCGTCGTCACGTGTCTTCAACAGTCCCTCAGACAGTGCGTGCATATAGCGAAATTAATTCTCTTTCGCTGCAATGCTTAAAAATGCATGCAAATGATAACTTTTCATGACCACCTAGCACAGCAACGTAAGCGAGTAACCGTGTAAATTTTAACACTCTTGACTTATTTGATCATACTACCAAGGGGTTTCACACAAAAACTGTATTACAAATGTCATAATTTTTTTATATAATAATAATAATTCTATTACAGCACTGGATCATATATATATATATATATACACACACACATACATACATACATATATATATATATATAACAATTGTTTATATTTTTTGTTTATTATCATCAATTCTTTTTATTCATTATTTTTATTGAATTTTCCAAGACATGTACAGGACACAACATGCTGATTTAAACATGCGAAAATGTTTTGTACTGATTGAAATGTTCAGCGCTAGGGCTAAATGTTTAAAGGGGTCATATGATGCTGCTAAAAAGAACATTATTTTGTGTATTTGGTGTAATGAAATGTGTTTATGCGGTTTAAAGTTAAAAAAACACATTATTTTCCACATACTGTACATTATTGTTTCTCCTCTATGACTCTTAACTTTTATAAAGAATATCTCTTTGGTTTTGAGACTTTAGTCTTTGCAACTTTACAGATCTTCTTTATGCACCAAGAGCTTGTAACACTCCAAAGAGAAAGGAAAAATTGAAATCGCATCATATGACCCCTTTAACAATTACAATAGTATATACTTATATAGTTTACATGTTTATATATAAAAAATTTAAAAAAGCATGCAGTTTATACTACATACTAATGGCCCATTGCGCTTCACCTAATGCTGCATTTTCTTTACTGCCCACTAGAGGTCATCCTAAGACCGCTGATTGCACATTTTGTACTCAAACACTTAAAGGAGTTGCTCTTCAAGGAACTGCTACAAGTAGTATCAGAAGGTCTCATAACATTAAAATGCAACATTTTTATGGTCAGATTAGACACATAAGCGGCTCCAAATGCAAATCAGCCCTATCAAGAGAAATATGCGAGCCGTGTGGCATTGATGTCTCTTAAGGACAGTAGTGCTGTACCCTGATGGGTCTACGGACCCTCTTGAGGGACGGAGGAGGAGGGGGATGGGATGGCTAGCGGCCAGGCTATTGTGTGTACTCAGTCCTCAACTTTCACTGCAAACGGGTCGCTCGCTTATCAACAAAGACACCTGCTTTCATGCTCCTACTCCGGTCGCTGGTGGGTTCACAGGGGGAGAGTCAGAGAGGGCTACTTGGAAATCTGCTAGAGGCCTTTTGCTGCTTATAGGATAAGGATCACATACTAAACACAATATTGCAATAACACACTTGTCAATAGTGAAATTAGCTTCTTGGGAGCAACTGTAGCAGCTACATTTTTTAAGACAATGCAAGTCATGTTTGCCCGCTGAGTCGACACAAAATACTGTTTAATGTGTTGCTATGATGTTCTAGGTTGTTTTTAGGGCATTGCCAGGTGGTTTCTAGAGTTTTCTAAGTGGATAAATATGGTCTAAGTCTAAAGAGTTTTGTCCGAAGTCACTCTGGTCCACGGATATGGCTAAAATTCTTGTTACATTCTTGTATTCTTTTGTACATTTTATCACCCACTAAGTAAAAAATGGTAATTCAGCTTGCCTCTAGAAGTAAAACTGGTGTAAGTCTAAAGAGTTTGTTCCCAAGTCAATAGTATTTATAATTTAAATCACACTCTAAGTAGAGATGGCTGATATACCAGTAGACACGATTAACCGGTAGAGATTTTGGACTATTGTCTCTTTCGCGGTTACACGTTCACATAACTTTGCTGTGCTACATGGACACAAAAACATAGTCCATCGTTTGCACAGGTTTATAAGCATTGTGGTTTAAAAAAGTTATTTTACGCCGTTGAAATGCAATCAGCAGCAAAAGAGAACTCATTTCGCTATATGCACGCAGTTTCTGAGAGGCACGTGCACGTTAAGACGGTGCTCAGAGCGTGGGAGTACTGAACAGAGTTATTTCTGATGCTGTATAGGCCTTGAACGGTTAAATACACAAACTTTTATGTGTCAAAATTCCCATCTTTGCAAGTATCCTCGTAAACACAGTATATTGGATCCGGCAGCTCTTAAAAGTGACAGCGGTCTAATATTCCTGCTGTCTGTCGATCACGTTAAATTTCTCACTGCTTTTGACTAAATCACTTTTGTAACTTAGAAATAACTATTTAATTTACACAAGTGAAGAATATACAGTGATTTTATACATTCGATTTTACAATGTAGCGTTTCATATATATTTGTTCTACTGTAGGTTTTTTTTGTCCTAATGATTGTAATTAGTTTCTTATTCTTATTTAATCACTGACTGTTTACTTGTCTTCAGTTAGCTTTAGTTTTTTTAGTTTTTTATTTAGGCTAGTATTAGTTTTTGTGATATTGACACTGGTGACAAAAATTATTAAATTTATATGGTATCAAAAATTGATATCATAAAGACTTTATTTAAACAGGGCTCTAGAGTTTGTAAAATTTTTAAATTGTCATTTGTGACAATTTTTTGAGAATGTGCGAATTGAAATTTGACCTGGTCGCATTTGTGCGAGACTTGACATCTGCGTCAAAGCGTCTGCTCCATACAGCGGCACATTTAGCAGGAGTCAGATTTCACTGATCACGTGAATAGAGGTGCTTTCAGTGCGAGCGCTTCG